CGGGCCCGCGTCCATTTTTGCCTACTCATTTCTCTTGTCTTTCCCCAGGGCCTGCAATACTCGAGTGACGGCCGTACGCTGACAGCGAACACCTGCTCCAAGGTCTGGAATTCCTCGTCCACGGCAGCGGCTTCCTTGAGGAAGTGGGCAGCCATCTGGATGTCTGCGCCCTCAGCTGTCGTACACCCAGGCCGAGCCATCTTGTGTCTGCGTTCTGACATCTCGGGGGGGCGGGCCTGCTCGGCGCCATCCCAGGTCCTCTCTGAGGCCTCTCTGGGGCCTCTCTCGGGGCCTCTCTCGGGGCCTCGGGGACCACCTTCGGGCCATCTTGGGAAATATGGCAGCCATGTTTGCAACTCTGGGGGCCTTCCTGGGGCACCTCACCGCCCATCCGTGGCCCGCCGATGGGGGCTCGGATGACCCGCCCTGCCCAAGGACGCGTGGTTTCTGCCTACAGGGGGCCGTCGCCGATCTATCGGCGACGTATTGCCGATCCCAGCCCGATGTCACACCCCTCCCCCCCCCGAGCCAGCCCCAGCGCTCTCGGCCCCCTTCCACGGGCCCAGGTTTTCATCCTGCAGTGAACTGATTCGACGGCGAGCGAGGGGGGGAGGTGAGAAGGAGAAGGCCTTCTCAGAAGGCGGCGGGGCTCCTCAGCAGCGAGTTTCCTATGTCTTCGGGGGAGGCTGAGAAGACTTCTCGGAAGGTCCGAGGCCTGCCGAGCCTCCTGAGAAGGCCCGCCCCTTCTCGCTCCCCCCCCCCCCCCGCCCGGGCTCGCCGCTGATTCACTGCCCTGGACCCTGGCAAGGGCCTCCCAGAGGGCGACACCGGGCAAGAGGCGTCCGCCGTGAGTTCTGGCACGACGCGAGGGGGCCCTCCCCCCCTCCCACCTCGAGCTATTGAGGCCGGGGGCCCTCGCGGGACGGCCGGCGGGCAGATCGGTCCTCCCTCCCCCCTTGCCCGCAGAGTGATCAGGATCGAAGTTCGAGGTGCGAGGCTCTTCGGCTGCTTCTGGTCCTCTCTGGGCCTCCTCGTCGCCACGGCTGGATCCGCCTTAAACTTCTGGCCTGAAGTCATCACTGGCAAGCTCTGGGGGCCGATGTTTGACCCTCGAGCCCTGACCTCCGATGATTTTAGTTGGGCGGCCTCTGGGACCTGGAGACCACCCGTGACCCCGGGGACCTCAGGGCACCCTCCAGCGACTCGGGCAAGATCGTGCAGGAGCTTGTCTTGTGATGGCATGGAGCACAGCAGCTTTAGACGACGGTAAACACACAATCTGCACGGCATGCAGCAATTGAGGCCGTGTGCGTGCATCTCGTGCACATCATCTTCGGCCTGTTCGGTGCCACTTTCGTGCTTCTCTCTGGTATCGACACGGCTGGTCGCACTGCCCTCACGAAGGGCACTTCGATGATGTTGGTGTTCATGGGAACTATCACGTGGACGTGGTGGATCAACCGCCAGGGCGTGCCGTACTGGCAGTTAGATCCGTATCCGTTTTGGGATGTGCGTTGTTCGGCAGAGAAGAAGAACCGCACGGTCCACATCCTCAAGAATATCGCCATCATAGGTGCCCTGACCATGCTCCAACAGATGGCCAAGTACGAGCGCGAGGCCTTCCCCGTCCGACCAAGCTTCCTGGAGGGTGTTGTCACAGCGCTGAGGCCCTGGAGCTTTCCAGCAACGCTGGCTCCGCAGCTGGTTGCGCTGGCGGTGCAACGCTGCATGCTGCACATCGAACTGCCAGGCTATGTGATTGTGTTTTCCCTAGTCGTGTCCCTCATGGGAGTTCAGGCCACAGCGAACTTGGTCAACTCCTACAAGGACTTCGAGCGGGGCATCGATGTCAAGGAGACGGCTGGAGACAGGACCTTGGTCGACGACCTGGTGTCGAAGCGCACGTTGCTGGTCATGGGAGTCTGCTGTTTAGCTTGCTGGCTATCCTTCTTCGCATGGTCTGTAGTGTCGACGGGCTTCAACGTGGTGGTCCTGTCTTTGGCGTGCCTCGGCACGCTGCTCGCAATCGGCTACACCGCTGGGCCTGCGCCCCTCAAGTACCTGGGCCTCGGAGACCTCGTCGTCTTCTTGTGCTTCGGCCCAGCGGTGATTGCCTACAGCTGCGCAGTCCTTACGGGCTCCGTGCACCAGGAGGCCATCGTGCTCACTTTGCCGGTCACGCTCTTCGTGGTTGCCACGCTCCATGCGAACAACTACCGAGATATTGAGGCGGACGGCCGCACGGGTGCCAGGACGGTGGCCATAATGCTGGGGAAGCAGGCCTCACTCCACTACTACAGCCTGCTCCTGCTACTCGCCCACATCGGGGCCCTGACAGCAGGGCTCTGGTATGGCTGCGCCGGCGCCGCCGCCAGCCTCTTCGTGGCGCCGCAGTCAATCTGGCTCTGCATGCGCATTCGCATTCCCTCCAGACTGCACGACCAGGACGAGGAGACGGGCAAGACGACGCTGCTCTTCGGAGTAGCGCTGGCGCTGGGCATCGTTACCATGCCCGGACCCGAGCCTTCTGCCCTCGGACTCGGTGTCGTGGCCTTGGTGGTGTTCGTGCTCAAGGTCTTTGCGAACTAAGACGTCGGCGAGCTCCGCCGACCAGCCATGTCCGTTTCTGCGCGGCTCTCGTCTCCGCACTCTCCCCCTCCGCTTCCTTCCTCGTCCCTCCCGCATCCTCCCTCTTTCCCCTCCGAGGGCGCTTGCAGCCACGAGTAGGCGCCAGAGGGCGCAGGTGCGCGCTGGTAGGCGCGAGTAGGGCGTAGTACGCAGGCGCCAGTAGGCTCAAGTCGGGCCTGTCCCTCTACAGGGGGAATATTCAAAAATAGTCCAACAATAGTCTGGGGAGAATTTGTTGAGTATTGTTTTGACTATTTTTGAATATGTTTGAGTATCTTTTATGTTTCGTCGACAATTCACCTGTAGGGGGACACGCCCGACTTAACAGTAGGCGCCGGCGGGTCCAGCGGCTCGCTTTGTTCGAGGCATGGGCCCGCGGACCTCTCGACATCTTCCTGCACGGGGCCGGGAACAGGGAGCCGGTCCCACGGAGGCCCGAGATGCGAGCCAGCCTGTGCGACGGCGGATGCTTCGGGTGCAGTCAACATCGGGAACATGAGGATGAGTGCGATACGGGTGAGGTACGCAGATATTCTCGTAGTCCTCGGTGCCAGACCCTCTTGGCACCTTCGGCGCCCTTATCCTTGGCATCGTTGGCTTTTGCTTGGCGTCTCGCATCCTTACCCTCTTCCCATAGGTTGCAATTGTTTGTGACGTGCCCCCCCCTGCGGATCTCGACCACTTCCCTGGGGCCAGCTTTTCGTCCTGAGCAGTTGCTTGACGGCCTCAGGCCCTGAAATGGCCCCAGACGTCGCGAACGTGGCAAAACCGCTGCCACGCTTTGTTTTGCGGCGCCCAGATCTGGGTGTTCTCGCCCTTGTGGCCGATGTTGACCGTGTCCAGGCCTCCCAGATGGGGCCCGAGTAGATGGTGTCGGAGGGTCGCGCCGTATCGCCGCGATGCGGCTCGATGTGGATCCAATCGATCTTCTCCGCGCCGAGGTCGCCGACGCATCGGCGAAGCATCGGCGACTCGGCACGATGCTCCGACCCGCTGCCGTCACGACCCTGTTTGCTCCTTCCTGCCGAGCTGCGTGCCGGCATGCCTCCCGCAGCCTGGTGGACGCTTCCGGCAGCCTCTCTGCGGAGCGGCTGCAGCGGGGGCGGCGGCCTGCAGGAGCCACAGCTCCGAGGACCCGCGGCCGCGGCGGCCGCGGCCGTGGGGACCGAGGCCGGGATGGCGAGGCTGGCCGAAGCCCTTGATGGGTGGTTCCGAGATGGGGTCCTGAGGGGTGGAGCTCTCAGTCAGAGCGTGAATTACCTACCCCGCTTTCGCTTCCAAGCAAAACCAATCCGTACCACGCGCCTCCTCGTCAAGCGGCCTGACCAGTACAGGCCGTAGTTTGGCATCGCTTGGTATCTCTTGGAAGCGAGGGTGGTCAAAAGCGAGGTAGGTTTGTTTGCCCCCGACTCAGGGTAGGAATAGGGGAACAAAAAGTGACATAACATAAAAACTCGGAGGTCCGCGCGGATTTCTCGGATCGGCGCTGGGGCCCCCCGGCGGCGCCTCCGGCGCCGCCCCTGGCGCGCTCCGCGCGCCAGGGAGGTGGGTCCAGCGCCGATCCGAGAAATCCGCGCGGACCCCGAGTTTTTATGTCTATGCCACTCGTTGCTCCCCTAAGTAAGGGCTCCAGGGGTGGATTGACACCGTTTTTGAGACACCCCGCCCCCAGGACCCCCGGCCCTCAGGACCCCATCTTCGGACCACCCGACTGGAGCTGCCGCCGCACGCAAGGTGCCCGCCTCCTGCCCCACTGGAGCGACGTGAGAAAACGGGTTCGTCTTCGCCGACGGTTGGCGCGAAAGCCGCCCGCTCAAGGCCGCGCGCGAGAGCCCTCGCCTCAAAACCGTGGCGTGCCGCGCGGGCAGCCCGCGCAGGCCGCCGCGCAAGGTCGCCTCGCCATCTTGCCAGGGGGCCACATGCGAACCCTACCCCTGACCCCCCAACGATTTCTGGGGGGGAGGGTGGAGCTCACTCCGTTCGGGAGCTCCCGAGCGAAGTGAACCCGACCCTCCCCCTCCTGAAGTCGTGGGGGGGAAGGGGGGGAGGAGGAGAGGAGGAGAGGAGGAGGAGATGGAGGAGATGGAGGAGGTGGAGGAGGAGGAGGAGGAGGAGGAGGAGAAGAAGGAGAAGGAAGAGGAAACAGGAGAGAGGAGGAGCAGGAGGAGGAGGAGGAGGAGGAGGAGGAGGAGCACGTGGCCCTTTTTTTCGTTCGAAATCCCTCTGCAGGGGGAACAGGCCCGACCTCGCCCCCAGGCACCCCCTGAGCGGCGGAGCGCCGCGCGCCTCCGCTGGGGGGGCAGCGGCGTACGGGCGGCGGAGCTCCGCCCCCCGCGGGCGCGGCGCTCCTCGGGAGGGGGGAAAAATGGCACCCATGCCTGGAGGCCTCCCATCGGGCCGGACGCAAGGGGGGGGGATTGGGAAATCTGGACGCCCGAAATGGGTACTGAAAGAATGGGTACCATGCCCGACAGCGGATCTTGTTCATTTTGAACAAGATCCGCTGTCCACGCCGCCGCCGCCTGTGTCCATTCGAGACAGGAGGCCGCCCGCCCAACAGCGGCCGCTGTTGGTTTGGAACAACATTGGTTGTTGGGCATAGTGCCCATTCTTTCCGTACCCATTTCGGGCGTCCAAAGGAAAGGATGGGAAGGGGGAGGAGGACAATAACCCAGAAAATACGTGGAAATATGGGGGATTTTGTTACTTGTGTCTGTTTGTGTGTGTGTGTGTGTGTGTGTGTGTGTGTGTGTGTGTGTGTGTGTGTGTGTGTGTGTGTGTGTGTGTGTCCCAGGGCCCGTTCATTCGGGCCGGACGAAAGAGGGGGATTGGGAAAGGGGGGGTTACGAAATGCGCTGCATGCAGCTGGTTTCGGCCTCACCGAGGGGCCCATTCCTCGATACATGGCCGCCTCCGGCGCCGGGAGGCGCCGGGGAAATCAGCCACGTGAGCTGATTCTCACACCCCCCCTTTGCTGTCCCCCCCTTTCGCCCGACCCGATCCCAGATCCCGGCGGCGAGCCCGGGGGGGAAGTCAGGAGGGGCGGGCCCGCTCAGAAGGCTCGGAAGGCCTCGGGCCTCCCGGGAGGTCTCCTCGGCCTGCCCCTGGAGGCACAGGAAGCTGCTCTGGCAGTCTGGAGGCTGGAGGGCTTCTGAGAGGCCCCGCCGCCTTCCGAGAAGCAGCCCCCCCCCCGAAGTGGCGCTCCTCGGCGGGGAAGGCGAGTGCGGCAGGTTACCGCGTCGCGTCGACCAGCGCCGGAGAGCTTCTGAGAGGCCCCGCCGCCTTCTGAGAAGCAGCCCCCCCCCGAAGTGGCGCTCCTCGGCGGGGAAGGCGAGTGCGGCAGGTTACCGCGTCGCGTCGACCAGCGGCGGCCCCGCCGCTGGCGTTCCACGTGGAGCGCCGTCGGCGGCTCAGCATCGGTCGACGTTGACTTGGCATCGCTCGGACGTGTGCATTTTTTCCGCGGCGAGAACCATCGAGGACCATCCTGGACCATCGAGCAAAAAAAAAAAAACACGCACGACATCAAACAATGCACGGGAAACGGACATCCGAGCGAGGGCAAGTTGAGCGAACTGGCGTCTCGAAACGGCCTGTCGTTCAAGGTCGAACAGTCCTTGCGGTGGTGGGAACTAACGCCGAGTTCGTCACGACACGAAACTGCCTCAGGGTAGGTTCGCGTCGCGTCGACCGGCGGCGACCCCGCCGCGGGCGTTCAAGGTTGAACGCCGCTGGCGACCCAGAATCGGTCCATGTTGAAAGATCAGACACTTCCGAAATTGTCGATCGTTCAAGGTTGAACGATCCCCGCGATGTCAGAAACCAACGCTGAAGTCGGCACGACACGACTCTGCCGTATATCAATGACCCTAGGCCTCCCTGACGGGACCGGAGCAGGTGGGGTCGGAGGGTCGCGCCGCATCGCGGATGCATCGGCGATGCGGCTCGATGAGAGCGCGATTTTCTCCACGCCGATGGCGCCGATGCATCGCCGACGTCGCCAGTGCGTCGCCAATGCATCGCCGATGCAACGGCGATGCTGCGCGTTCCTCCGGCTTAATCCACTCCGACCCCATCTAGGAGGCCTCTACTGGCGCGCCGTTATTGGGAGCCCATCAGCGTGTCAATTCCTACTTCGTTATTGGTCGAAGGCCGGGTGTCTCTTCAAAAGGGACATTGGAAGTAACAGGTTGATGGGTTCCCCACGGCGACGTGTGATTGCTTGTGTGTTTCCCGTCCCAGCTCCCAAGGTTGCTTTGTCGTCTCCGTCGAGCCTCGTTGGCCGCCGTCAAGCGTGGTCGTCAGCGTCGTCGTCGTCGTCGTCGTCGTCGTCGTGGTCGTCGACTGTTGCCGACTGTCGTCGACCGTCGTCGTCTACCGTCGTCGTCGAGCTTCGTCGTTATCGTCGTCAAGCGTCGACGTGGTCGGGATCGTCACGCGTCGAGCTTCGAGGTTCGAGCTTCGAGGTTCGAGGCGTTTGATGCTTTTTCCCCTGAAGAGCAAATGCTGTGAGTGGTCCGAAGTGTCTCAAGCAGGCGAGTCGGGTTCGTGCAGTGCGTGGTTCTCAGGTGTAAGGCGGAACAGTTGTCTTGTCGCACCGTGCCTCGCCTTGTATTCAGAACGCGAGTCGGTAGTGAATCGTGTTTAGTGAGTACTGAGTAGTGAGTAGGGGGTAGTGAGTAGCGAGTCGTTTGTAGTGTGTAGGGTGTAGGGTGTAGGGAGTAGGGGGTAGGGAGTAGTGAGTCGTGGGTAGTGAGTCGCGGGTAGGGAGTAGTGAGTTGTGGGTGGTAAGTAGTGAGTAGAGGGAAGTGAGTAGTGAGTAGCCGGTAGTGAGTAGGGAGTAGAGAGTAGTGAGAAGCGAGACTTGGGTATTGAGTAGTGGGTAGTGAGTAGGGAGTGGCGAGTGGAAATTAGTGGGCGAAGCGTGAGTAGTGAGTAGTGAATAGTGAGTTGTGGGCAGTGCGTAGTGAGTAGTACATTGTGAGTTCTCAGTAGTAAGTAGTGGATAGTGGTTACTGGTTAGTGAGTAGTGTTTAGTGAGTAGTGAGTAGTGGGCAGTGAATAGCGTTTAGCGAGTAGAGAGTATTGGGTACTGGATAGTGAGTAATGAGCAGTGAGTTGGGAGTAGGGAGTAGTGAGTAGTGGGTAGCGAATAGTGGGAGCGTAGTGAGTAGTGAGCAGTGAGTAGTGAGTATTGTGTAGGGAGTAGCGAGTCGTGGATAGTGAGTAGTGGGATGTGGGCAGTGAGTAGTGAGTAGTGAATTTTGAGTACTGAGTAGTGGATAGTAGTTAGTGGGTTGTGAGTAGTGATTTGTGATTCGTGAGTAGTGGGTCGTGGGTTATGTTTACTGAGTAGTGAGTGTTGAGTAGTGGGTGGTGAGTAGTTTGTAGTGAGTAGTGAATAGAGAGTACGGAGTACTGGGTAGTGCGTCGTGGCTAGCGCGTCGTGGGTAGTGAGTAGTAGGTCGTGAGTAGTGACTAGTGAGTAGGGAGAAGTGAGTAGTGAGTAGCGGATGGTGAATTGTGCGTAGTGAGTAGTGCGTAATTAGTAGTGAATACTGTTTGGGGCTAGGGTTTGGGTTTTGGGGTTAGGGTTAGGTGTTAGGGTAACGGTGAGGATTAGTGTTAGGGTGGTAGGGGTCGGGTTCCGGAGACCGGGGGCGCCGTGGCGAAAGGGGGGGGGGTCGAATTTGGCGGCCAAAGGGGGGGAGGGGGGGGGAGGTTGGAACCCCCCCCTCCTTTTTGGAAAGGGGGAGGGGGCCGGGGGGGTTCCCCGACGACGGACTGGGAAAGGGGAGGGGAGGGGTCCCCGACGACGGATCGGGAAAGGAGGGGAAGGGGGGGGGCTCCCCGACGACGGATCGGGGAAAGGGGGGGTGTTCCCCCCCCCCCCACTTGGGCCCATCCAACGGCACGGCCTCCTAGTTTATACATATATAGTGCAATACAGGTAGACCGTGATCAAATTGTGGTGTACGTACTCGTGATCATATCGATATTACTATTGGTAACAGGGCCACGCGTGATCATCGTGCCACGTTCACCACAATGTCGCGTCGTAGCAATGATGGAAATGTAGCTTCGTAGATTGTCATCGTGATGTTGTGTTTGAATGTCAGCTTGATCTGGAGGTGCTACGCGTTCGGTAACATCAAACATGTCGTCCGAATAGGCGCAGGACTCCAGTCGCGAGTCTTGCGACATCCAGCTTTAGGATCCACGGGCCCTGCTGTGCCTTTAGGAAGGAGTCCTTTAGATGTTTCCTGAGTCCTTCAGGCTCTGCGGTTTCTTGGCGGGTCCGCAGGGTTCTTCCGGATTCTGCATGCTTCGGGGTCCGCAGGGCTCCTCTTGATTCGTCAGGAACCGTGAGAATTCCAGAAGTGGAATTCTCAAGGCTCCGCGGGGCTCCTCAAGGCTTCTCAGGATTTCGTTGGATTCCTCAGGGTGTGCGGGGTTCATCAGGGCTCCTCAAGATTCCTGAGGAGTCTGCGGATTCCACAGGGTTCCACAACGGTCCACGTCTGTGTTCAGGGCTCCCAGAGGCCCTGATGGCCCCTCCTCCTCCTCCTCCTCCTCCTCCTCCTCCTCCTCCTCCTCCTCCTCCTCGCGCCTCCCTGGGGCTTTCGACCTCCTGATCTCCCCTGTCGGCCCCTGCTCTGGAGGCCGTCTCTCTGCCTCTGGGCCACACGCGCGCCCGCTGCCCCGGCAGCGCGCAGGCGGCCGGGAGCGACCGTCGCAGACTTGTGTTCCTCGGTCTGGGTCAGGGGGCTGCGGCTCGCAGGCCAGAGGGATCGGAGGCGACGGTGGGCGCGAATAGCCCAGGGGAGAGCAATACATGTATCCAGGGGCGCTGATGATCCATGTCTTCGACAAGGCTCCCGGGCGAATGCGCGTGTAATGCCCGCCCCTGGGCTATTCGCCCCTGTCGTCGCCGCCGAAGGGAGTCTGAGTCAGGACCGCTGCCACCGTTCCGTCGTGTTGTTTTGCTCCACGTTTGCCAGGAGGTCTTGCCCTCCCCCCCACGCGCCGAGCCCGGGCAGCCCCCCCCCGCTCCCGCGCCGTGAAGGCAGCTGTACACTTGCGGCTCCAACAAGTACAGCCAGCTGGGCCGCGAAGCCAGCGACGAGAGCGACAGCTCGACGTTCGCGGCGGTGCCCTGTGGGGGAGGGGCCCCTACGAGAGCATGGGGACGGGATGACAGACGTGGGAATGGGGGGAAAGATGAGCAGGAGGAGGAGGGCGGAGGAGGTGGAGGGGGAGGGGGACGAGGAGGAGGAGGAGGAGGAGGAGGAGGAGGAGGAATTAGAGTTGGAGTCCCTGGATGAAGGTCTGCCAGCGCTTACTCAGACTGCTTGCGGGTTTTTTAACGCTTCATGGTGCAATATCGGCCTGACTGTAGGCCTGACGGGCCATTGCCCCCGAGACATGCGCCTCAGATGCACCTGACGGGTCTGAGTGGGGCGGCCCGAGCACACAGCACCCAAACGCACAGAACCAGATCCCCAGGTCCTGGTCAGCCTCATACGAGGGGGGGGCCGGCTCAACCCCCACCCAGTGTGACCCGCAGCCATCTCAAGAAATGCTCTGCGTCGTGCGCCAAGCCGGAACGCGGGCAACGGACGCCGAGCCCCCACACCGACGGCTCCATCGCCCGTGCTCGGCGAGCGCGTGCGACAACACAGACACAGTTTCAGGCGCAGGAGGGGGACGTGGACGAGGAGGAACTGTCTCACCGTTCGCGGCAGCGTCCTGGCCACCACTCGGGGACCCCCTGTTTCCTTGCCTCCTCCGACGGGGCCCCGCCTGGAACAGCTCCATCTCGACCGCCAGCGTGTCCAGATGGCTCCTTAGGAGCCGCATCCGCACAAGGACGCCGCCCCTCTCGTGCTCCAGCACCCTCGCGCGATCGGGCTCTGGTATCCGAGTGCGCCTGGCGCCTGCGCCTGCCATGTGATCCGCAGCAGCGTCGCCGTAGACCATCCCTGGGTCGCCTCGCCTCTCCACAGCGGCAGCAGCCTCCCGGTGAGACGTGGTGAGCCAGCCCGTGACGTGATCTGCGCTGGCTGCCGGGGCCTGTGCGGGCTCCTCCCTCCTCCGACCACACGCAAAGAGTGGCCCTTCGCCGCTGTTGAGGTCTCCCCCGATCGCCGAGCCCGACGCGATGGCAGCGCCCTGCGCACACGCGGGGTTGGTCCTCCCGCGGCCCCCCCGCCCGCCGCGCACCAAAGGGCTTCTCCTCCTCCTCCTCCTCCTCCTCCTCCTCCTCCTCCTCCTCCTCCTCCTCTCTTCCTCCTCCTCCTCCTCCTCTTCCTCTCTTCCTCCTCTTCTCTTCCTCCTCTTGTCTTCCTCCTCCTCCTCCTCCCTCCTCGCGCTCGCTTCTTCCTCGCCCTTGTGCCTCCACTGGCCCCCGGGTTGACCCCACCGCCTGCTGCTCGGCGTCTGCCCGTACTTGGACCCTGTGGCCCTCCCGCGGACCAGAAAGCAGGTGGTCTGCTCCGCGCTGCGACGTCGAAGCTCCCGAGCGACGGGGCCCCGCAGCCCCGACTGCCTCGGGGGTGGACAGACCTCCTGCCCTGACGCGTGTTCGGGCTCGGCTCGCAAGAGGGCCTCGCGGCCGCCATTGTTGCGGGTCCGGGTCCGTCGGTTTCGGTCCCGGGCCGTTTTCATTTTGAGGGAAGGTCTACCAAAGGGAGGTTCGTCCACCGCCGAATGCTCACCAGCTGGTTCCTCCAGCTTTCTGGCCCACCATCCTGGCTACCCGCGACACCTGTCATGAAATCCTTTGTCACACGAACGGTTCCCCAGAGCATGTGCAGCTCTCCTCGAGGAGCGGACTGCACGCACACCCTGGTATGACGCCCGGCAGAGTGGCAAGCGGTTAAAACTCCGTTTCGCTGTGCAGATGCACCATACCCAGCCCTATCTTCCGAAACCGCAGGTCGTGAGAGTCTGGCCCCCCGTTGGCGTCACCGGACAAGAGAATCCGGCGAGATGAGCTCTTTGCACCCAGGCTACTTTCTTCGACCACGCCTTGCCCGAGCCCCGCATGGTGCCACTGATTTTCGTCGGGTGGGTCTGGCAACGTTGTCCATGCTGATGGAATCCATCCTCGAAACCAAAAGCCTGGCTCGGCCTTCTGTTGGGAGGACGCCTGATTGTGCAAATCATCACTCTTCTTGTATAAGGAATGATCCGTCGTCTTCTCGCACTCCCAGCCTCTGTGGAATGTGGTCTCCTTTTCATCAGAGTGTGAATTACCTACCGCGCTTTCGCTTCCAGGCAAAACCAAGCCATACCACGAGCCTCCTCGTCAAGCGGCCTGACCAGCACAGGCCGTAGTTTGGCGTCGCTTGGTATCTCTTGGAAGCGAGGGTGGTCAAGAGCGAGGTAGGTTTGTTTTCCCCCTAGTCTTCTCGCACTCCCAGCCTCTGTGGATTGCGGTCTCCTTTGCACGCTGGCACCCGGGACGGAGGGAGCGCACAACGACCTCGAGCCCGTGGCCACGAGCCTCCCGCCGCAACCGAGGCCGGCAGAGGAAAGAAACTCCTTCCTCGTGGAAAGCCCTCCAGGTGCTTCCAGAACAGCCCAACATCACAAGTGCCCGTTCCTTCGGAGAGGTCGGAGCCAGAACAAGATGCTGTCCAGCTCCCCCCCAACAACCTTTCGGACGCATGACCAAACTTTCCAGACAGGAGCCGCTGGGTGTTGCTTACAGCAACAAGATAAAAATACCCTGGTCCAGGAAACCTCCGCTCCGTTCCATCGTCCATGATCCAGCACACCCGCGTCCCATGGTCCCAACCCCGCTCCAGAAGATAATCCACCGCCGCTGACACAGGCCCTTCGACCCCAGCACGACCTTTGAGTTGGAGGGACCTGTCGGAGATGTTGGGCCGGCGGGCCCTAAGCCCCATGAGGACGAGAACGGATTTCGGGGCGACCGAACTATTTTGTTGCAACCGAAGCTTGAGGCATTCCTGAGGTATTCCGCAGGGTATTGAACTCCAGGATCCTGATTGGGGGCCCTGATGGCAAGGTTAGACGTGAGACATAGCCCCTTGTCCCCCAGAACAACCAACAGCGGACATGGCCCTCCTAAAGCGTACTAGATTCATCCCGAACGTCTGGTGGATCTTCTGGCCGTACTTGCCAGCATCGAGGGCCCCCATCCTCTCCAACCTGGAGGTTGCAGAATACTGACGCAACGCCAAGGCACATCAAATAACCTTCTGATCAATGACCAGGTCGGACGTTTGTTTTTGGGCCTTCACGACGATCCCCTTGACTCTGAGTCTCCTCACTACCTCCATGGTGTCCCTGTGCTACGCACATGTAACAACATACTTTGGCTCAGCATCCACTTGCCACGTGGCCAATGCACTAAATGTATTACGAAGGCAAGCATACATTTGATTCACGATCGTTTTACTGGAACCCAAACTACGCTAAGAGATACCGTCGATCCGTGCCCTCTGCCCAAGGCAGGGGTGACGGCGAGAAAGTTTGGCCATCACAGATCGCAACATGTGTCATATATTTTGGCGAGCTTGGTGCCTGACCTGAGCCCCTGGATGATCCTGCGGTCAACCAAAAAGGGTTCGCATACTGCTCCAAGTGCTTCCAACGTGCCTGCTGGTGCACAGTTGACCAGCTCTATGTACAAAACACCAGGACGCATACCCAAGCGCAGAGCAGCACGTATCAGCAACACCTACCCGACGCCATCGTAGAAGCCCCTGATGTCCAGCATGCCGTGGCCAGTGGGCAGCCGGGGACCCCGTGCCACCTCGCCCTGCCACTTTTTGATACCCAGTGGTGTAAGACGATCTGCTCCCGTTCCTGTCTTGCCGCGCACGCCGTCGGCGGCTCTCCCCACATCCTCTGCCGTGATGGGTTCTAGCGGCTCGTCACCGGTCGCCTCTGTGACCGTGAGAGAGGTTTCTTCCAGTCAGGAGGAGGAGGAATAGGAGGAGGAGGAGGAGGAGGAGGAGGAGGAGGAGGAGGAGGAGGAGGAGTTGCAGGAGCAGTCGGATGGCGACGACGCCGCGGCCGCTGCGGGGAGGGGGGGGGGGCGCGAGGTGTCCGTGCCAGGCCGCGTCAAGCAGGCGGGCGCGCGCGCCCCCCCAGTGGCCAACGCGTACGGGGGACTTCCTGTTGCCAGGAACATGCTTTGGGCATTGGTCGTGACGCTCTGTGTGTGTTCACTCTCCGCTGCCAACCATGTCCTCCCTCCTCCTTCCCCCAAGGCCATGCTGGCTGCAGACAGCTGCGTGCATCCAAGACAAGTCTCCTTCCCCCCTCCTTCACGTTCCTCTTCTTATCTCGCTCCTCTCTTCACCTCCCCTCCCCCGTTTGTGGAATAAGCATCGCCACAATCACCTGGAGGCGGGGGGGGGGCAGAGGGGGTCAGGGGCGGTGGTGGTGTACACCTCTCCTGCACGCCTGCGTCCGACAGATCAGCAAATTCTGCCGCCAAGGTCCCCAGAGGCCCCTGGAGGGCAGACAAAACAGGTAAAGGACGAACAAACACTAAATGTGGATTCCCGAGCCAACACATGCCAAACACATAAGCCTTGCAACGGACCCAAACAGATGCAGCCGCGAGTACCGCAGGGCAGGTGGAAACTGATGGAGGACGCAAAGGCTAACGCGCGGGTGAGAAGGACGCAGCGACGTTGCTGATTGGGCCGCAGGGGTCAGCCGCAGCTTGTTACATCTGGATGTAACCCGTCACGGCCGATCTGCGCATTTGGCGACCCGGCCTTGGGGATCCCCAGGGCGCGGTCTGGGGAGCGGCAGGCGGCGGGGCCGCTGGTGGGGCTCCCACGGGGCCACGAAACGTGGGAGGGGTTGCCCAAATGGGCGCGGCCACGCATGCATTTCTTGCCGACGGGGCCTCCGGTGGAGCTCCCTGTTCCTGCGGAGCTCCCAATGGGGCCACGAAGCGTGCGAGGGACGTGCAATGGTGCCTCAGATGGAGCTCCCCATGGGGCCACGTGTGAGCGGTGTGCCGACATGGGTGCGGCCACGCATGCGATTCCTGCCGCTGAGGTCTTCGGTGCAGCTCCCTGTGGGGCCACGAAGCGTGCGAGGGGTGAGCCGAGGTGGCCAGGTGGCAGCATGCGGGCGCAACGACTGAGTCCCTCGGTGGAGCTCCCTGTGGGGCCACGTGCCAGGGGCGTGCTGAAAAGGGGGGCGGGCACCCATATGAGTCCTGCCACTGGAGCCTTCTGTGGAGCTCCCTATAGGGCCACGAAGCGTGTGAGAGGTGCGCCGAATCTGTAGAGGGAAGACGTGCAAACGGAGCCACTGGGGCCTTCGATGGAGCTCCCGATGGGGCCACGGAGCGTGTGAGGGGAGAGCATGCGAGTA